TGAAGATATTGAATAGAACTGGAATTCTAAAATAGAACTTTAGATTACTAAAACTCTACAGTTTAGCAGCCTCCGCTGTTCTCGATCCTGCTTCCTTCCCCACATACCTGTGAACTGCTCCTGAGTACAGCTGTGCTTACATACAGAGCTTTTATATTGATTGAAATTATGGTGTTAAGCTGAAGGTAAGAGAGGGTCAGAGATGTTATTTCTAATTAACACAATCATAAGCTAATGATAAGCCAGTCACTCGTACAAAAGGATCACTTTAATTAATGTGAAGCAAATTTAATTTGCAGTGCAGTGTTTTGGCAACAAGAGGTGTTCATTGGAACGCAGTTTTTTACTCTGTTGCTGTCACAGACTTGGAAGTGAAGGACTCAGCTGAGAAGGAAAATGTAAGAGGTTTAAAGTGACTGCAATAATACCATTTTCTTATGTGTCGGAGTCTGCACTCTCGGTGGCCATCAAGAACTGTTAGGCTATGACTGTTCTGGAGTAAGCACAGATCTCGCATAGCTGCTCTGCTCTTCTGACTGCAAGGGAGGTGCATTTTGTCCCAGCTGAGGATCTGGCTTCAGGTACTGTGAGTATCATCTACAGAATGAGGTCTAAGATGTTAAAACTTCAACTAAAGGCACAAATAAAACGCAGTTGCTTTGCCTTCTGTGAACCATGAACTGCAATGTGTAGGTCCTGCGCTACCATATTGGTTTGATGAATTGTAAGCACTCCTGTGTTTCTCCTGTCAGGAATGAGCAACCTCAGAAGAGGCTTGATCTGCACCCTGCAGCTTTTGCATCTGGTTTTGCCCATAGGACTGTGAACTTCCCAATAACTAAAGTCCTCGTTTTCAGAAGACCTGAGGAGGCTGTGTTCGGGACTGCCCGGACATGCCTGGGGCAGACTCCCACAGGGATCCCACCTGGCATTCAGTGCAATCCACAGCTTGTCACTCAGTACAGATTGTTTTGCCCATGCGATGCAGGTAAGAGCTTACACATCTGAATCTCCACCTTCAGTGCGGTGTGCTGTTGGCTCGTGGCAAGTGAGCTGCGTAAGGGTGACAGATTATTTGCTGCGGACAGAGTAAATACGCTGCAGTAGCAGAAAGATGCTCAATTCTTACTTAAATTAGGAACACGGCCACAAATATGGATCTCCTTAGCAATCAGGCAATGCACAGTGCAAGAAAGGATAGATTTTTATGGGAAAACACATTCACTAAAAAATAACTGCTCTGCTTCATCACCTAGGAATGGAGTTAGACTGAGTGCTGGTGATGCTGCAGAGCAGGCAGATGAAGATAATTCATGAGACTGCTCCTGAAGAGAATAAGGCAGTGCTTATTTACCTGTGCAGGCAGCAGCTACCCTGCTGCTGCAAGGGAGCCTTTACAGCTTACGTGATCTGTGTGTGTGCACGTATGACGCATAAAAATACAGTCCTGTGTGCAGCAGGTGGGGTTTAATAGCTGTTGTGTCTCTTGTGATTTCCAGATCATACATGGCTGTGTGCGGGTTAATTTTTTAAAGTAAATTACCTACAGGCTCAGGCTGAGATCTAATGTAAACTGTGAAATTGCTAGTAACAAAGGTTCAGC